CTTCGATGGCACTGCATTTTATGCGAATTCCAACGCCAGGGAAAAGCCCTTCAAAAGCACGGGGGGATAAATGTGCAGTGTTTTAGGTGCCGACGTTGTTCCACTATGGAACGTGTCGTTACTGGTACAAACGTTTGATTAGAAGTGGTGGTTTCGACCTTAGCGACAAGCCGCACCCCCGAACAGCAGCCTTACAAGTTTAAAGATGCGGCATCGCAGGCTGCTACTGGATGAAAACTCATCACAAACGCTAAAAGAGCTTGCAGCAGTTTAGTTATGAGTCACCCAAACAGCTAGTTGACCAAATGGGACAAATTCAACAACTTGGAAGTTGGGTACCCCCAACTAGGCTGAGCGGCCACAGCCCAGGTCAACATACGTATACATGCTTTCAACTGCCTGCCCGGCGACAACAAACAGTGAGTGGAATTCTTGAAGCAAATTGTGACATGTGATGAAGCCTAGACGTAAAATGTCGTGGGTAGATCCCGGGCAACGCAATACATCGACGACGAAGCAGGCCATCAAATTGAAGATGGTTCTCCTGTGGATTTGGTTGGGGGACATGGAGGGTGTACTTTATCACGAACTCCTGGAAACAACTGGTCGTCGGACAGTGACTGCACAACACTACAGTCGACAGTCGAACAAACTGAACAAAGAGCGTGACCGTAAAAGTCCAATTACTGGGCAAGGAAGTAGGCAAGTCTTACTGCAGCCGCTGCACGACAACGCCTGACCTCATGTTGGTAGCGTGACTCACACGACGCTCCTGAACTAGGGATGGGAAGGTGTCCAACACGTGGCACATTCGCCAGACCTGGCTCCCCTTCCGAATACCATTTGTTTCGGTCGATGTGGCACCACTTCCAAACACTGGAAACTGTGCGTAAATTCGTCGACGATGACTTCATTGCCTCGAAGCCTGCAAGTTTCTTTCACGATGGCATCGCTTCCTTGTCTGAGAGATGACGCGATGTCTTAGAATACGATGGACAATATTTCTCGATTAATTCCGTTGCTCGCTATTTTCTCATACTAGATGAATTCGCTGAATGTCTGTACAAATTAAGTCATACAGTTGATATTTATTCGAAATCACCTAGGCAAAGAGGGAAGGCCATAGACGATGCCAACTAGCCTGTTTATTCAACATCTAGGCAATGTTGGCTGCGTGCGGATGTTTGTGTCAAAAGACATGGCGTTGACAGAGGTACTTCGTCAGAGTGGACCACTAGTAAATAAGTTAGTGAGATGATTCGATAATGACGTGTCGTGTGTGGAAATGTATCCATTGGTAAAGCTTCCACTGGCATTGTTGACAAACCATCCACTAATTTTCTCCAAGGCAGTTTCCCAGCGGTTAAATTCTTCCCATCTATGTCAGCCTACTTTTCTGCAGACTATCGATTAGACTGAACATTACTTGCGTATAGCCCAGTTCACTTGGTGCTATTTTCAGAGGTACAAGCTCCTTGAAATAGTCTTGCAAATCATTATGCGTTGAAATTCCAGACGCAGGTGAATATACCAACAGTTCCTTCGGCATATTCCTCGCACCGGCTAACTGGTTCTTCGTGGGCTGAAGTAACTGGCTCTCGCGCATGCCAACTTCCGTTCTAATCACTACCCACCAACAATAAGTTGATAAACATTGAAATTTGAAACGTCGCTTAGCACCTATTCTGGAAACAGACCGTGATGCTGTCGTATGTGTGTGTGTGTGTTGACGAAAATGCAGCAATACAGTTTCATTCACACGAAGTGTAGTCTGGAAAGTTGCAAAACCGTTTACATAGACTCGCGCACAGTAAAATCCTGATTTCTAACGACTGTCCGTTCACACTTGAAATGCTACATCGCAAAATACTAGGAATCATTTTGAAGAATTGATCGCTTGTTAATTTGTTTTCAGGGACAACCAGACCACACTTGTCGGATCGATGAATTTGTCTCGACATCCGCACTTCCCCTGCCTTGAAACAATCGTTTATGCCGCAACAACTCCATAATTATACTTTTCAAACAACTATCATTCAGCGCGCCGTTTAAACATATTACAACAAAGTGTTGGAACATTTCTCTGCAGGTAAATATTGCCAGACTGTCTTTTGAGACCGATAGACCCTAAACGTACAGGTACCACGACCTTTTAAGTTGACAATGACAATGGACAACTAAAAAACAATGGTCCACCAATTTAAAACTCACATCGTACAGATTTACAAATTTGGCGTAATTTTATTGAAAGAAATATGTCTAAAGTAAATATATAATCAAATGCGGCAATTACTTGCTCAATTGTCTACGGCGTAAGACGACGCACACTAGTCAGTACGGAGGTAGACCGTAGTGGGCGGGGTCAAAGCACTCTAAGCTGGTTAACCGGAGGATTCGCGATTTCGCTTCATCGGTGAGACCGTTGTCATCGGGAAAGCCGGGCGC